GGTGCACACTATAATACAATATTTTGCATACTGTAATTGGGTATATAAATTGTATCTATAGATAAACGGATTGCTCACAAATCGGGTTTGAGCACTGCGGTCGACATTATCCTCAGCTTTATATTACCTTAGTTTATCGTTAGTGTATGCTTGGTGCGCGCTTCAAACGAAATTGTTATTTTCCACATTGTTTTGTTTTCGAAACCGAATCGACTAATACCATAGTTATTGTCGTTAAGACACGGATACTACTTTACGTTATTATTGCAGTTTTCGGCGAAACGACAACAGCACACACATGTATAGTACCGGAAGTGACAAATGCTTATTGCCGATTCGCGAGATTTGCGGCCGTGTCCTGTGGCGTTATCGTGTCGGTGTAAAATATTAAACGCCATAAGACACAAACGTCGCCGGGGCCTTTCCCGGACGAATGCGGCACCACGACCCTTTAAGGCTCAAGGGACAGGTGTATTGTTTTCTTTATGACGACGGCGGTGGTGGATCGGCTCGAAATTTGTTAATGAGCCGAGAACAGACTAATGTTTTCCGCCTTTGTGCCGACGACCGTGGATGAACCGGCCGTTTTAGACCACGGGCGAAGGGGATACTACCGGAAATAAAAAAAAAAAAAAAAAACACCGCATTTTGTAAAGGTATAGGTACTTTCTTTTGTACATAATAACATATTATTCCCACCTGTGTTCAGCGACCGGACCGCGCTAACAACTCTTAACCGTAATAGCGACTAAAAACACAGAGTAAACGGCACCTGTGCAAAATGCATCAATCTGACGACAAGCCAATGTTGCCAACAATTGCATTACCGAAGAATGCGGTGTCAAAGATCCGAGCCGAAAGTTGTCACACATACTTTACTAACAAGTGATTACCCATGTACTGTATGTAATTATTTATTTAGTTCCTTAAGGCTCATTTATACAACGGAACGAAGGACTTCTAAAAAAAAAAAACCGAGGCTGGATAAGGTACAATATTATGTGACGTGGGGTTTGACAAAAAGTTTCATTTAGGATAAAAAGACATTTTTATAAAAACATTATGAACGATGATGTATGATGATAAGTGTTGGCCATTGAACAAGAGAGATGAGAGGAAAATAAAAAAATAATATTTTAAGATGGATGTACACAAGATTAACTGTACAGATAGAATATGGATATAATACATCTGTAACAACTATGAATAAGTGTGCAAGTCGAATTTTGGTCAAAATTGATGAAGTACGCTAGGATGTAGTCCGAAGCGCCTAGCACACCTTGAATAAATGTCTAACTCGTTGGACCAACAAGAAAACCTAGAGAGAGATGTGAGTTCCTGATAATTACATTCTGATTTATGGCAGCTGGTCAGTTTAAAAGCGCTCCTTTTAAAATCACTGAAATCGACTTACACACTTATTCACAGTTGTTACAGATAATGAAGGTCAAAATGTGCATTTATTGACAAAAAAAACTAAGACGGATCGAAGAAGATCGAACTATCTAATAACATAAATAAAATTGAGTGTAAAAATATAATCGTCTTTGATTATACTCCGTCTTGGCCAACCTCAAATGTATCGGATTGAAAAACGAGAGAACTGATTAAATTATTTCTTTTATCCGGACAACAATGCAAGGGACCGCATAAATCCTTAGCTGACATTTACTTTGGAAATCTGCAGCTTGTGGGCCTGTTTAATGATGTCGAAATAACGCAATATAGAAGTGTTCGTAGGTTATTAATTTTGCTTTCGAGAGAATTGCTACTTTTTAAGCAAATGTTCCACGCCTTAAGCATATTGTGCTATTTTAAAATTATTTTTCCAGTGAACAAATCATCTAAGTAAACCTTACTGCTATATTACAGCCCATTGTAGTGGAATGGACATTATTGCGTTAGACTTTTTCAACGCAATCACCTAGAAATGTCCAATAAAGGTTTAAATCTAATTAAAGGCCGCTGATTAGGAGAGGGTCTTTTCAAAGACCTTTTATATTGATGTAGGTACATGAAACGGACAATCGCAACCATGGATCTTTCATTAAATGGACTGCGCCAAATCATGGTCCCGAGATATGTGTGAGAAAGACGCAGAGGCCGAAGCCAGTTTTGGCATGTTATAACACTATCAATTTTTCCAAATCTCTTTCTGCTTTCATAATATATATATATATATATGGGCGGTCCATTAGTAAGTCTATGATACTAAACACAGAATTTCCATAACACTGAGGCTTATTTTTCTCAAGTAAAAATCCTATATAGTATATACAAGTCATAATAAATGTAACTTAATATATTTTCGACGTTTTGTTATCATTGTTTTTTTTAACGCGCCCAAGATTACTGTGGGTTAATGGACAAATACTTGTACTCGTTTGTTTGTCCAGCCACGTCTAGTAATGTAAAATGAAAATAGAAACGGTTTTTTTGTTTTGTTTTACACAAAGCTCTACAAAACAATCAAACGGGGTTTCCGGTGAAATGAACGCGTTATTTTTTAAAGTAAACGTTTTCGCATCGCAGAATCGGATCGCGCATCGTCTTGTCGACGCTAACATAAGAACAAACGCTTAGCTGGCTCTACTTAAGAGCTGTAATTTATTTTTAAAGTAACTCTCTCATATTATGATAATAATATGTCTAGGAAATAAACTACGGGAACAAATGGCCGACACGAAGACATCAATAACACAACACGCTTTGGTTTCAAAAGTCGATTCAATAATTTAACAATGAGAAGTTTTTCCGACCGTGTATGACTTGCGTTCTTCTTAATATATTATTCATAGTCGGAAATTCGCGCTGATAGACGGGAAAAACTCTTGTCAGCGGGATATCGTCTGTTGAACTTTTTTTCTTTCCCAAGCTTATTTACCTAAGTGCTAGCCAATTAATATATCTGATCGGATGTACATAATATGTGAATATGATCGTTGTAAATAAAAAATCACATTTATGGAAAATAATTTCAAAGCCTATTTATAATAATATAGTGTTCGCTGAAAAAAAAAACGTGGCGTATATTATTTTTAAAAAGAGAAATGATGACAGATTTAATGGGAAAATAATTTATTTTTAATCCAACGCCGTTCTGTAAATATATAAAAGTATGGATATCTAAAAAAAAATATCCAAAACAAATGTTATGCATATTTTTCAGCGGTCATAAACTCTATATAAGACTAGCGCATTGTGCTATAATGATATTTCCGTTAAATAAACATTCAACTAAAATATCATGAGACTTAATTGATTTTTGACAACACTGCGTCACGGCGACCCATACAAACAAAACGCCCTAACGAATGGTTTAACGATAAATAATTTTATTTAATAATGATTCGTTCAACGCGAACTTTGTGTAATTAATATGAATGAATTTCAAAAAAATAATAATAATAATAACACAAAAGCAAAACACGTTGAATAATTTATTCATTCAGTCTGAAGAGGTTTTTGATGTGCTTATATTACGCTTGTAGTACCCGCTTGTGTATTAATTAAAATTCCTGCACGGCAAACTTGAATTTACCCCTTTTTTACTCGACAGTCAAAACTCGTTTGGTTAAAGAAAGAAAAAAAAGAATCTATTAAATAAAAAAGAAACTTTGATTTTGAAAATTTAATTATAACTATCAGTGTACAATTAAAGTGAAAAAATATTGTTTTCCGCGCACACATAGTCTATCTTTGTTTAATATTTATTTAGAAATTAAAAATTATATCACGGTACAAGTCACAAAACATTTAACAAAGTGCCGTACACAAAGTAAATCCACGGTTTGTAAAATACATAATCTGTATACATAATAGCTTTGTATTAGAGTGCATTTTACTTTGAAAGTTCAGGCGCTCAAAATCTAGGATCATCGCGGAATGGCCTGTAAAAAAAACTTTTCCAGTTGTACTTCTTATAAATTACTTAATGTAACTTGTGTTGAGACGTCGGAGTGGTTCTATATACATTTGTAAATACATTTGATACAAATTTCAATGAATATTGTACTCGTTGTAAAATAAAAACGCTCTTTTCAGAAATTCGTTCATATTGCCATACACATCCATCGTCTAGTTTAAAGCCAGCTCGAGCCTAAAAGTAGATATTCCATAATATATAAAAAAAAAACTTTAATTGTAATCTATTTATCAAGTATTTCATGTTATATTTTTATTTTAGCTAATACTCTTATTGTACCCATTGGGAACAGATTGTGTATATATTAATAAAGAAAAAAAAAAAATTGTAATCTTAATAAATGAAATAAGTCTTATTTTGGTTTTAAACCAAAAAAAAAAGTACAATTATTATTTTGTTTTAGTTTTCTGTATTGATCTGACGTTAGCGTAAATCGTATACCTAATCCTTATAAAAAAAGACATTGATTTGATTTATCTACAAACGTTTATATTATGCACGTTGTAATATGTAGATAAATATTATAAATATAGATAATTTTTATAAACTTATCTTAAGCCACTAGACAAATAAAATAATTCACTTACTCGAGTAAGATATCTATTTATTATGGTCAAGTTGTTCGCTCTCAACAAATGATCGAATAGAAATCGATACTTATGGAATCAATAACATTATATAACACTATTTTTCTATTTATGTGATATATTCCAAAAATATTTGTATGTTTTACTCCTATTAGAGCTGTGCAATTAGACGTCTGTGCATTGAAAACGTTTTAATAACACGTTACTAAGTGTTAAAAGCAATTATAAAAAAATTCCTTTAAAATGTATTCGAGATACACCCCAAGTGAAAGATGTGACAGCAGCTGCAAATATAACTACAGCCGAATGAATTTCGTATTGTAATTAACGTCTTCGAGTAGTATAAAATATAATACCTGCGAGTTACTGGACGGTATAATAAAAAAAGAAAAAACCATAATATTTGGCGTACCCAATAGTTATCGGGTTTTCGTTGAGTTTGAACAAAAAAGCCTTTAAGAAAAATAACAGCTATAACAGGTACTCACGTTCAGGTGAAATCCGAGTCGTTTGTTATTTAATCCATTTACTTCGCGCTGCGGCCGACGATAGGATATTGCAATAATATCACTTGAAATAATTGAAAAAAAAAAATAATAAAGTACTTGACCGTCTGGGCGATTAAAAAACCGAACCGTTTGTGCACACTGATACCGTGAAATCGGCCAATCTCGAACAACGGTCGTTTACCGTTTAAACGTTTACCAGTCGACGGACGTTAGACGTAATTCAACGGCGGCGGCGGCGAAGGCTAAGGTGGCGACAAACCGATTTGCAGTGACTGACACGGACCCGCGGGATAAACGCACTAAACGGAAGGAAAAGCCGGCGCTATTGGACGACCCTCTCTCGCTCACCGCCAGGTTTCGCCGGTGGTAGTAGCGCCCCGCTTGATGGTACCTACCCTCCGTTGAAGTCAACACCGTAACCTTTGGATGTTCACCCCTGTCGGTCGGATCTCGCTTTTTTTCGTCATGTTATTATCTCGCACTCGGTTGTCTGCATGCGACTCAAAAACCGCCCGACAATCTCTTTCGCAGAGGTTCGTCACAATATGGTGGTTACATGTCGAAACTATACCTACTAATCTTACTTCCGGTTCCGATCGCCTAGGCGAAGCGATAACGAGTTAAAAAGCAAATGAACTTCTCATCGCACAGGATAAGTTTCTTAAAGTTGACCGTATTATTTTTCATTTATCATCCACCCGCAAAAATATAAAAATGACAATCTAAATGAATAGGTACATACAAAACATAAAATTCGTGTATACCGCAATAACTATCATAAAAATGTATTCAGTTTTGATCTAGTGTTGCGATAAGGATTTATCGCAACAGTAGATTATTATAGGTAATAAGTATATATATATATATATATATATTTTTATTATTCAAAAGCCTCGACTGCAGGGTCATTGGCGTACAGTTTTGGTATACATATATTATAGTATAACGGGAAGAATTAAAAATACATTAAATATACAATTGTTTAGATAAGGGAGAGTGGATTTGATTTTTTTAGAAATTGGAAGATGTTACGTGATTTTCGTCGTTTCTAGCTATAGTATAATGTAAAATCATAATGCTGTTGACACGCAAGTGCACGTGCAAAATAAGCTCTGTGCGGTACAACGGAAGCTAAACATCTAGTAATGAATAATGATTATTTACTTGACACACCCACACAGCTCACTTGAATGTGGTTAAAATATTGCTTTAACATAAATTCTTAAAAACGAACCGTTCTGAACAATTATCAATGTTTAATTAATTAGTTAGATATTGTTTAATTATAACACAAATACAAATACAACATGTAATTTTATCATTTTTATTTTAGATCTTCTTATATTATCATGCGAAACAATCTACTAGCACGTATTACAATGGCTAGTCACTATTTTGGTTTACTTGTGATTTGATGATAACCATTCTCTCCGAATTTGTAAGTTTATAACAAAACAGGTTATTGTTAAGAGAGATTCGATTTTGCGATATCCGTTTGTTCTGGTTGTGAACATGTACCCAGGACTTATCGTTTTTGTCTATTTGCAGTTCTAAGTATTACTTCTACTTTGAAATCATTCAGAATTAATGTTGGATTTCGTATGATGTTCAAGAATAGATAAGTTAGATTGATAGGAATGTATAAGAAATAGGAGAGGGATTTTACAAATTTGGAATTGAAAAAATAATTTAAAATCCTATTATTTTTAAGTCCTGGAAATTTGTAATATCAACATAATCAACACAAGAATTAAACAGAAAAATGTTTAAATCTTAAAAGCACATAAAATAAAAACCGTTATAAATTTAAAATTGTCACATTTTCCAATATTATATTCATAGTTTATTTTAGATTTGCTTAAGCTTCGATGTCGAGCTGAGAAGGTATTGTTTTTAAAAATTGTTCTACAATTGTGTTTTTTTTTTGGCCTCTGCGTATTTCCATAAGACTATGTTCACTATTATATGCATAAAATTATAAATATATGTTTTTGAAAATAATTATATACAAAGTAATTTTATGTAAATTCTTACTTAAGAAATTCTTTCAGTAGTTAATACCATAAAAAACTAATTTCTATAAGCCACGGCACATGGACCTTTAATTTGAATAATAAATTTAGATGATGTTTTTATATAAGAGTAATACTTTGTTAAAATATTATGATGTTGTTAAAAGTGCATAAACATAAACCTACAGTTAAGTCATAATCCATGTCTTGCAAGGGTAAAATAAAATGTTGCTTTTAAATTAATGTCATATTTTTATACCCATATTTTTAAACGTACCTATTAATGTACATTCAAAATGTGACATTAATACGGTTTTTTAATTTAATTTCTTTTGTGATTACACATTATAGCACACTATATGATACAAAAGCATTACACTTAATATTAATACATATATTTTAATAAAGCAGCCAGCGTTTAAAATAAAGGAAATAATGGAAGAAATAACGATAGGGGAGCGAGAATTAAGAAGAAGTTGGATATCCGGAAAAATGTAATTCATATGGAGGACAGAAGAGAATACAAAGTTGAAATAGTATTTTTATTAAAAAAAAAATTTATTAATTCTGCTGAGAAGAAGTGATGTTCAATATTTTAAGCCATAACCAGTGAAGGCTAAATAAATAAAAATATTATGATTCATTAAGACACGTTTAAAAAACTTTCGGCAAAGCCCTTAATAAGTGCTATTAACGCTGTAATGTGCATTTAAAAATAATGTCAACGCTAATAAAAAGCGATGTGCGTCGTTCCAAATGAAAAATTAGCTATTCGATCTAAAGCCAAGCTGCTTTTACTAAAATGTTTATGCGAATATACACGGCATAACTTTAATGGTGTTTAACGCATTTAACCGGCCGTCGGAGTTGAGAAGGTATTGTTCTTACAACGCTGTGTTTTTACTTTTCTATTTTTTTATCTGGACCCACGATAATTCCTATTAGCGCTTAACCGATTTCTTCACGAAGTAAGTTTACGGATCAGAAATCGTACTTGACTACGATTGGTAACAATACGGAATAAAAAACAATTTAATATAAGCCCAAAAACGTATAAAGCTTATCCCTGACCCCTTCAGATATTATTCATTCGACTGGGCTTATATTATGACTTCCCATGATTTTGTGATTAATTGATCACTCTAGAGATTATATAGGTTCTCTAGGTTAGGTTAAATTGTTAAAAATAAATCACAAGTAACAAATTTCGTGGCGATGCATCACGGTGACACGAAAATAGCCCCAAGGCTAAAAATGTATATTATCTATGTTCAAATCAAAAAAATCAATCACAGAAAACAAACATTTTATGTTTGAGGAATGTGCAATACATTTTTACTACATGGATTTAGGCAGATATTTTAAATGTAAATGTCTTTCGCTTGTGCAGCTATTTTACAATTAAACAATGTTAAACAGCAAAACTTTATAAAAACAAACAGAGAAGAGAGTAAAACAATGGATTGTTTACTTTTGTACAGCCCAAGTATTTATCTTCACTCGAAAACTTTATGAGCCATTTATTAAGAGTTACTAGTATTTTTAAAATAAAAACGGAAGATCTATTGTATAGGTTTATTATAAAATAAAGTATTACATTTAATAAGAGTTAAGTTAGGTACAATATAGTTTTGTAGTTAAATATACTAACACATTTTTTTTCATTAATAATATTTCACATATTTAATATTTATGTTTATTTTGGAAAAAAATGGTGATTGTGGATTGAAGTTAGAACTATTAATTAATTTAACTATAAGAACAGGAGTCCCTTAAACTTTTTGATAAAAAAAATAAGTAGCCAAAACCATTGAATAGTTCATGAAGGGTTTGTTTTTTAATTACTATTACAGCAATTCAATCTAGCGAGTTTAGATCATACTCGAAATATTTTTCTTTTAAATTTAAAATAAATTATAATCCTAATTATACAGTCCAAAGTTAAGCCAATACTTATTTAGATAAATGAAAGAAGTGAATTTTTTAACTTTTTACCTGTAAATGCTTAACGCATCTTATGGCTTATGTTATCTGAATAACTAATGATAAATGATATCTTAATAATTTACGATATCTAGCGAATATAAATCTATTATCAAAAAACTAAAACATTTCTATTACACCCAGACCATCAGAGTAACTCTGTATTTAAATAAAAAAGATAGGATTTTAATGCATTATTCAAAGAAACCGTTAGAACAGCAAAACAAAAATTATTAAAAGTAGTTGGGCAAAATGCTAAGAGCAAAAGTTTGCAAATACAAATATAAAATTTGTATGTACTTGCAATAGTATGAAACAAACCAACGATTTTGTATTAAGTTTACTGACTTATTGAAAGTTATAATGCTAAACATAATTTATTCTGTCTTTTTAGAAAACGTTACAGGAAAAAATGTAGCTTATTTTACGAGTAGGTACCACTTTATTATTTGAAGTTCATAAAATGTATATAATAAATTCTTTCAAAAAAGGTCCCTATTATTTTTAATGATAAAAATTCAATTAAATATTTTGTTAAAAACATTATTAGTAGAGCTGTACAGTGTAGTTATAGCTCTATGTATAAAGTAGATATTTTACAAATGCCTTTTCTGATAACAAAAAAAAAAGTACTAAATTAGTTTTTAACTTAATGCAGGAATTCATCAGCGAAAACGAAGCCACCCGACGGGTGACGTTAACTGATTTGTAACAAGGGATCACTAACACAATTATTAATTTTAATACGAGGCATAACTTTAAATACTGTTAACGTTATGCTCGCTCGAGAGGAAAACGGAAATGATTTCGTTGAACACAGCTGATGTTCGTCAGACGACCGTAACATTTTATATAATAACGCCATGCCGAGCTCTACGTGGACCACCAGCGTTGAACTTTTGACTTCAACTTTCGTTTTCCAACTATGCTATACTAAATAGTTTTATATTATATATACTATATAATATTGCCGATGTAGTGAGACGGGTAGAGACATTTGGCAAGGAGCATTACGTGACTCGCTGCGTTCACCCCCGGCGCCAACTAGCGGCGTGGTAAGACGGTATTCATCCAAAGAATCGGGAAGTCGACATTTTTTTGGATGTACACCAATATCGGCGTTCCTAACTGGCTCAAAAATGATACAATTACGGTTCGAAATTGAGAACGGTACAACAGCTGTGTGCATTTCTTTGGTGACCGAGGGAATTTCGAATTACCGCACTGTATATTTTATGCAGGCAACTACAGCAACTGAAAAACACCTTCTTTCCAATCAAACATTATC